TATATATATATATATATATATATATATATATATATATATTATTTGACTCTCGATTTTTATTCTGTGTTCTGAAGCTTTTTCGTAATAATTCCATTCCGCCAACAACGCATTTAATGTCAATTTTCGATTAAATACAGGTGAATGAAAACCTCACATGCCTTCTTGTTGAAGTGTGGTATATAGACATACTGTGTATTTACTACCTTTCTATATTAATTAAAATAGGAAATTTCAGAAATGTTGAATTTGTGCAGCTATGTGCAGTTTCCACATAACACGTTAGTCAAAAAGATCATTATGTTCCTTTTACTCTAGTTGCCTGTTGTTCTGTGTCGTTCACCTAAAGTACATCTTTTGTCTTCCAGTGGGAAAGATAGCTGCAAGATCACTTATAGTATATCAAGTTAGCCTGTTACTTTTTCTAGTGGTAGTCAGGTGACCTCTTGAAGTAAAGACTTCTCTTGTATTTTATTGGAATAAATCGTCACATAAGTAGCACTAGTAATTCTGGCTGGGTCTGACATTAACGTGAAATTTACTCAGTCTCGTACACGATTTCAGCTTATCCAGAGATATACAGTCTGGAACAGGAGTTCACCAAGTCAGAATATTGTTGCGTCAGCGGAGGTCACGTGTAGTCTTGTATATATAAGACCGGCCACGAAGCGACTGGGATAATGTGTAATTGAACTGAGTATTGTAGAGTCGAGCACGTGAGACATTCGTTGAGAATTATAGCGTTTGTTATAGCGCGACTGTTGAAATTAAGTGTATCGCAAAGTTATATTCAGAAAGAATAAACCAGTTTTATTTAAGAAAGGACTTGTGTCGCTAAAGTTTCGTCGGGACGAATTTACGGAAAATTAACTAACGAACGGAGGCGTAATAATATTTTCAAAGCTAATTCTCCAATAAAGATGTCTGTCTATTGTGACACATAAAGTACACATTTAAACTGTGATTTTTAATGCATCATTGTTTGTAAGAAATACATTAACCATTTCTGTTCCTATTGTTTTCATAAGCATACCATGCTTTTATATCTTCTTATTTAAATTTAGTTTTCTTTCGATTAGTTAATTATTCTGTTAAGTGCAGTTTTCACATAACATATGGTAAAAACTTGTTAAGTTGAATTCATTCTAGAATCCTTTGTTTCTTTGTCATTTTCTGGAGATAGCACCTCTTCCACTCATGGAGAAACGACTGTAATGCTGCTCATTGGGCAATAATGTAAATAGCAGTATCCTCCAATGGTAGGGCAGGTGATGTCTCGAGGTAACAACCTTCTTTATGTTTGAGTAAGAATGATCAGTCATAAAAGTAGCATCAATTGTTCCAGGTAAATCCAACATTACTTGCTAAGTATGGAATTTTAAACTTAAATAATCTGATAAAAGTTTTTGTACAGTAAAGTTTGAAGAGATAACAGTTCAAACCCAGTAAAATAAGTACTTCATCACTTAAGCAAATAACGGCACACACAATATCTGTGTTTCTTTGTTATAATATTGTACTTTTGTATTTTTACATTGTGTTCAGTGCCTTTTGTTCTCACGTACTCGGGTATTTTGAAAAACTTGATATTACTCTCTAGTAAGTGTCTTATCGGATATCTTAGTCAGTTGAAATATCACATTGTTCTAGAAATGATCAATTTTACCTGAAAATACCACAGAGTGGATAGTAAGGAGAAAACTTTGGTGTAATGACCACAGAATATCTTATTGTAGTGTATTATGTTTTCTACTGACGTGTGTTTTCCTGTTACACCCTACTCTCCTGTTATTTAAATTTAAAAATGCTTTGTGTCATCAAAGGAATTACAATGTAGAGGAAGACAGGTTGCTGAAGAAAGATGGTTGTATGAGAGGATTGTCAAATCTAGAAGTCTTCTGGACATTTAACTTTTGATGATGATGCAAAAGTCCATAACGTCAGTTACATTACAGTTGAAGACTCAGAAAGGAAAGTTGTCTATGCCTGCTGTATCCAAAACAAATGTCCATACTTGTCCCCTGAGGACCTCAGTGAGAGAAAAGCATGGACAAATGAGAATTGACACAGTGTGGCATCTGGTGAGTTTGAACCTGTGTGAGGCAGTCTGTATGGATCTATCAGCATTTTTATAGCCAGAATAATCCAACCCTGACTCTGGTCGAAGCCATCTAAGAATATCAAGAGAAACTATAGGAACTATTGGTAGATGATGATTGCCAACAGGAGTTATCTCGATCACTGGCAAGTGAGACAAAGGGTAAAAATAGTGAAGTAGATGAACCATAGGGCAGTGGTGATTCTTTCTGAGCTAGAATATATACTGCTGAGGCTATCTTGGATTACAGAGGAGGCTGGAGTCATGTAGAGCTCACAGATAAGCTGCCCATTGCAACTCATTGCTCTGCTATCCTGGACCAGGGATTGACTACTCAAACAAGATTTCATGTTCCTGAGCATGCTTACCATGCTAAAACTGTACCATCGAGAACATTTGGCCAAGTGATGGCTGACAGACTGTGAGGAAAAGGTTTTGGCCATGGTCACAAATTCCCATGAATGAGGCAAAGCTGATCACTCCCCTGACATTCAATAGTAGAGTAAATGAAAATATGAATCATTTCAGAAAGTAATTGCTTGGAATGGCTGGTCTCAAGGGAGTAGGCTGTACAATGATCTTGAGTCCAGACACTGTGGCCCTACACTCTATTGAGCACTTGAGCATGGCACAACTTTGGGACTGCATAGCAGTCATTGCTGAGTTGCACCACAGGTCTAACCCATTGAAAAGTCCAGCAATCATTGCATTGCATCCATGGCCCACAAAAATGGTACAACAGAGACTTGTCCTCATATGCTTGTGGTTTGAACAATTTATTCAGTAAGGGTTATCTTGCAATGGCTTTGTGGACTGTGAGAATATTCTCAATGAAATGTTTGAGGAATAGCTATCCAGTGAAATGATGAGGCACCACCTGTATAGGAGAAATTTTTTCTCCCTTACTAAGGACAAGTCTGTAGCTGCAGTAGCTATACGTCAAACAGACTATCTTACCAATACTTCCGTATTAGACCAAACTGAGGGTTATCCTACTACCTTCATATCCTAGCACCGAGATTCAATTACACTGACATCTAATAAATGGATGGAGCTTTTACAGTCCTCTCATGGTTTACATGTCACAGCCTATGCCAATGAAATCTCTATCTGGATGTCATCATGGAAGGAGGAGTAAAGCATTTACTTTACCTGTGGAGCACTGGTTGAGTGAAATGCCCATACCTTGCTGAGCAACAAGATAGACCAAGCTATTGGTTTATACCAACAGTTCAGCAGATACAGAAGAGCCAATAACAAGCGGC